ATTTCAGATAATTTTCTATTTACTCAGGGTGATTATATATGTTCTGCTAGCAATTTACTACCTTTTAATACATCTCCAAAAGTTTTATTTTTCCTCTAATGTAGAGCCTGGTATCTGCTATTGTAAAAGCAATGCAGAACCTCAAAGCCTCCCTGGATAAGATTTAAGCACTGGATGTATAAATGTTTCTGCCCCTGTCCTATCTCTGTTTTTACCCAATTACTGCTGGAGAAGTGCCAGAGTATCTGAGTGTCTCATCAGAGTATCTGCAGTTTTTCACAGATGTGTTTGCCATTGTTTTGGTCTTTCTGGTATTCTGCCAGCCTAGGAGAGCTCTTTCCCCCACACTGACAATTTTATGACTGCTTGGCTAAGTTGGATTGTGACCTAAATTAGCAACAGGAGACACACAATAGGAATAGACAACACTGTCACATTTTCCATTTCTCTGCCCCCAGTCCCACTCAAGATTCTGATTGTGTGCAGGGGATATATGTACTATATGGAATTTACACTTGTTTTCAAAGGCATCTCTCTTATTACATGGTAAAACTCTTGTACCCACTGTGTATAACAAAATATGCTCCCTCTAGGAATTTTCTAGGGCGCCCATGTAATTTTATAGTACATATATTTGCACAGAATCCTCACATCTCTCTTTAGCCTTGTATCTAATTTGTTCACGATGTGTGTTGTTATTGAGAAAGTAGGGAGAGTTGCTAGGAGGACCTGCTCTAAAGGGTGCCCTCTGTTGAGCCTGGCTATGACTAGCTATGAGAGGAGAAGAGACAAGGGGAAGAAGAGACAGAAGAGAAAGGAGAGAGTAGATGGAAGAGAGAGAGAGAGAGAGAGAGAGAGCGAGCGAATGTGATTCAGCACAGCCCTAACAAAAACAATAAAAAAAGAAAGAGAATCTAGAAGAGAGGCACAAACCCAGTAAATTTCTCCCACTCTGCAAGGAAAAAAGGGGCATAGAAGGGAAAGACTCTCAACTACTTCCCCTATATACTCTGCAGGAAAAGGGGAAAGAGAATGGGAAAAACAGATAAAGAGGAGGTAGAGAGACCTCACCCCCCCCCCCAATCTGCCATTTACTCCCAAAGGTGAAAGGGCAGGAAGACAGAATAGAAAAAAAAGAAAACAACTTACCTTGAGTGAAACTACGCCTCCTACCATTTCACAGATCATTCTCTCTCCGGTCTCGTTCCAGTCTGATGTTCCAGACAAGACTGAGGATCCGAGAGATGTGAGGAGGAGCACCACAGTCATCAACTTTAATATGAAAGTGGGTGGATGATAACAAAAAAGTTTCAGTTTTCAGAGGTTTTCAGATTTTAGGTTTCTGGATAAGGGAGATAAGGAAGTGTTGAATACTTCTTATTGAAGTATTCAGCAATTGATTAAACAGGTCAGTCATATTTGGTACAAGCAATTGGATTTAGACATAAAATAATAATATTTAACATATCCTTCAAATAAGAAGTCATTACATGACCCTGTTAAATTTATAACTTTCTTAAAAATTATGAAAGTGAGAAAAATAGGTGACCCTTCCTTATTGTTGCTTTCAGTTTCAACGTACCTTAATTACACTCTTGCCATGAATTCCAGAAGCTCCATATATACTAGATGACCAAATGTGTTTTCTTTTAGAAGAGTGAATAAACAAAGCTTCATATGTATCATTCACAGATTCATCTTGGATTATAGCAGCTGTGTCCAGTCAACGAGGACAATTATGGTTGTGCTTGAGGTCTGACTTGTATATTGTGGGTAAATAGCCAGGTATTCTACCTTCCTCTGTATTTGGGGCTAGCCATTTGTAAAAGAACTCTTGATATTGCAGCTGAATTTCTTAACAAAATATTATTACAGTAGCAGTCTGTCAGTTTCTTAGATTTTTTTATGATACAGAGAATAAGATCCAATAAATTGTTTCTTACTTTTGTCTAATAAACAAGAAAATGGCTAGGCATTTCCCTCAAAGCAGTGGTGCCTTCGTTTTGGATGTGTCCCTACAACTCTAAGATGTCCTAGCTCTTTGACTCCATGTAAAACTGCTGCCAGACCAGATATCCACAACATCACAAGTACAATCCTTTGTGCACAGCTGGCCCCTCAAAGTCTTCTCCTTCCTTAAGTCCTGACATGATGCAGTCTGTCTCCCCCATATCATCCCCCCAAGAATGTGTTCTTGGCTGAAGTATTTCTAATTTTGCATTGCAAAGATAAAACTTCTTGCCTTGCTTGGCTGTCCTCTTGTTTGAAAACTCACTCTAAACATTTCCACATGGTTTTGCTCTTCACGCATATCTCCTCCCTTTCCCCCCTCTTCTGGCTTCTCCTACCTTGTGCTGTTGGCAAGGACCTTGCCTTGTTACTGTTTGTATTTCTTTTGTACCTTTCTGCTGGCTGAAATCTCTGCGGACCTTTAAATCTGTCAGCAGCAGCTACCAGACTCAGTATGCAATTTTAGCTCACTGTTTTCACAAGTTTCTGAATCCAGAAAGTTTTCCAAGTAAGCCATTGTAGGACTGTCTTAAAGTGGCATTGTCCCAATTTTAGTACAGGGTTTTATTTTTAATACCTTGGAAGTCCTCCCAATGTCACCTTAATACCGGGCTTCCTCTCTACTTTCAAGGGTTCTCCTTGTTTGACATTTCTCCCCTCATAAAAACACCTCCTGAATTCTGTGGATGCAGTTCAGGAAATGATGGATTTTGCTGTAACAAGAATATACTGTACACATTTCTGTATAGAGTCACATAGAACAAAATTTAACAAACAGTGCTTTACAGACCAAGTGAAATCCTCCATATAATTTGTCTAAAATACATCTTAATGTATTTTTGTGAAAAACTTATTTGGGCAGACATTGGGAAATTAAAGGATGAGTCTGTCCCACTTCTGTTTCCAAAAGCATTTTGTTATAAAATGTCCTAGGTTTTGCATGATATAAAATGTGTGTTGGAAAGCATCAGAAAAGTGTATGTACCACATGCAGTACTTCTCCCTCCTTGTCTTATCATGTATTCAGTGAAAGGACACAATGAACCTTGCTCTACATTTTGGGATTTCTTATATTTCATTGTTATTTTGATATTTTTAGTGTACCTTGCTTTCTATTCCAAGTTTGCAGATCAAAGTGGGAGTTCTAAACAGAAAGGTCTTGCATAGAGAGGACAAGGTGCCCCATATGCTCATGTATAAGTCTAGAAACTTTAGTCAAAAAAATCAACCCAAAAAACCTGAGTTGATTTATCCATGAGTCAATGTAAGTACTGTATCTTAAGTCTTATTATCAAAAGAACCATTCACTTCCCTGAAAAAGTGCAAAAGTTTAGTCTACCAAACGAAATTCTAAAAGAAGTGCCAACCCCCTCTATTCTCTCAGCTAAGGTGCCACTTCTGGCCTTTTTGAATGCTTGGGTACCGAAATGGTGGTGGTGACTCCCACAAGGTCACATTGATGCTTTCCCGTGTCTGCAAAATGACCCTTGACATATCGACAGGTCATATAAAGATTCATAACCCCCCCCCCCCAAACTGCAGTTTACTTATACGTGGGTATAAATCAAAAGTTATTAGGGTTCAGACATACTGACAATTCTGTCATCAGTGCACAAGATGTGTTGTTTGTCTGAATATTATCCTACCCAATATAAACTGTAATAGCTTTTTGCGGAGAGAAAAGTTGTCCCTTTTAGCTTACTGTACAGAATAGGATTTTTAAAGTGATCTAAAAGGACAGATTCTAAAGCAGTTGATTAAAATCTGTGTATTCAGGCTGAGCAGTTCTTATTGGGAATTCTGAAATCCAAAATACTACAAAATCCATTTTTTCCATGTGGGTTTATACAATAGTGACACCTTTCCTTTCGGATCGGTCAGTGTACATAGACTTGTTTTGTGCACAAAATTACTTCTCAAATTGTATCAAATTACATTCAGACTGGGTATATGCAATATAAATTAATATTGTGTTTAGATCTGACTTCCATATCTAACATAATTCATTATGTATGTTATGTATGTATATAACAATACAAAAACAAAGGGATAAGGAATACTCAATCTGTTTTAATAAGTATTATCAACCTGAAAGTGGAACCTTGGTGTTATTGACCGAATTGGTTTATCAACACAACACGTTACTTCCCTAATGTTTTGACTTAGTACTCCCATAACCCCTTATTGTTGTCTATGCTGGCTTGGGGTTCCTAGAACTGGAATCCAAAACATTTGGCAGCTGTTCTTGGCAAAAGGAGAAGAAGAAGAGGAGGAGGAGGAGGAGGAGGAGGAGGAGGAAGAAGAAATTGAGTTTTTCTTCTTCTTCCAGCAAGCATAGAATCATGAAATGGTTTGTTATTAAACTATGATGGAGACCAGCAGTTAGATTTATTCCCCTATTAGATATGCTGGGCTGAAGAGTAAATTTATTCAGTGTCTCTAGAAGCAGCTCAAGAATTCGGTATATTGTGCAAAGATGAAACTTTCCAAGTTTGAAAGGCCACTATCCTTTAACATCGTTGTTCATAATGTTCTTATTGTTATGTTTATGTTTATTTATACCTTGCTTTTTCTCTCCATAAAGGAAGCTGAAAGCAGTTGTGTCTGTATTGAGAATGTAATAATCACATTTTTTCATCTTTGGTGAGGTGCCCCTACCATTAAAATAATAATCTGCCATAGGAGTTTTCACATTTTGGAAATTGTTTGTAAGCAAACAACAGTGTTTTCTGTTTTTATACAAAAATAATGCTTTTATATGAATGAATTTTTCATCAAAATGTTCCAAAATGAAAAGAAAAAAAAGATGGAAACTGTATACAAATGTTCATATCAAACTGAGAGGAAAACAATTCTTTTGAAACTCTGTGGTTTCAGATTTGAATATGAAGTAAACAAACATCCCTCCTGTGGATTTAGGGGGAGCCCTGAAAGTCTAATGTAAAAAACAAAATTGCTAATATTATGTTTTTCTCCATTTTTATCTCCAGGACGAGTTGGATCTCACAGATAAAAACAGAGAGGCAATGTTTGCACTCCCTCCAGAGAAGAAATGGCAGATTTACTGCAGCAAAAAGAAGGTATTTTGTTTATTTTAATTTAAATCTATCTCTTTTTTGGAGACTTTTAAGCAGAGGCTGGATGGCCATCTCCTATACCCAAGGTCCTAGGTTTGCAGGACACCTGATTCTTCACCATTCTTATACTCTGGTTTCACCTTCCTCCTCACTAGTAGATTCCTCTAATAGGATGGAATAGGTATGTTGTCTCAGCACCAATGTGGTCATACTGGGGAGGAGTTCCTACTTAGAAAGTCAATGCAGATTGATTGAAATCTAATAGTATAGTGATGCCCAGGACCTCTGGATGATTATTGGAATCATACATAAGAATCGGGGAGATTATGCTCTGTTTGGAGTGCCATGTGGGAGCTTTGAAACATGGAGATCTTCCCCCACCATCTGTTGCCCGACACAGTACCATCAGCTCTTAATATTCAATGATTCTGCAGCCACACAATCAACTATCCACCACTTCAAAATATTCCAAAAAACGAACCTTGATTTTGCCATTTTATAAAAGGGACATTTTGCGACATGGTTGTATATAATGGAACCTGATCATCCACAGATTTCTGTCTCACACAGAACATCTCACACAGAATACACAAGCAGATTCCAGTAGAGATCAAGGGCTTTTTGTATCCAGAACAATGTTAGCAATTGATTTCTGGTTACAGTCTTTACTGTCTGAACCGTTTCTACTTTTTCGCAGCATTGTCCTTACGTTTGCCCAATAATTTCCAGTATCTCTCTGCAGTGGCACACATCTCAACTAAATGGTTGGGGGACAAGAAAACCTATCAGCTTCATTTTTCTTCACATCCACATTTTTTAAAAACAAAATATCTCTGTTTTCATTCAGGATATGGGCTTGATGAAGTTTGATAATTTTGTCCAAAACAAATTGAAACAGTATTCTTCCTTATCTGTGTCAACCAATTATAACTGTCGCCAGTAAGGAAAAGATTGTGTTTTATCTGCCTGCCATGTAAAGCCTTTTAGGGAAAAAAAGTGGTGGTGATTCCAATACACCAATAATGTGATTGAAAGCAGGTGGATTCAAACTCAAACCTTAGTAATAAATCATTGCCATAAACATGAATGGCACAATCTTTTAGTTTTTATTATATTTTAGTACTTTATACTCCTAATTTTTCTGTCAGCATAGATGTTAGCTATGATAGCTGGGCAATTCTGGGAGCTATAGCCCAGTAAAATTTTCCACATATTTAGGTTATCATGTTTATCACACCAGTAATGCGATATGAGGAAATAGGCATGTTTAGTTAAATTCTCATATTATTTATTTATTTATTTGCCATATTTCTATCCCATCTTTCTCAAGCCCAAAGGTGACTCAAGGCCGCTTACAAATTGGCTGCAGTTCAATGCCATAACAATCCACAATATACAATTAAAACATTTAAAACCGCATTATAAAATCAGTATAAAATCAATACAATAGCCATTAAAACATATAACAATATTAAAAGAACTGAAGCAAAGCAGTCACTATATTATAGAGTTACTTCATATTATAAAGTTAAGAATTAGAAGTAAACCCTTTCCTCTTCTTTCAAACCAATAGGTACAAAAAGAAAGGGGGTTAAGGCATTCACTTATAGCATGTCAGCTCATCCTTTCTGTGGAGTTTAGTTTAACATTTTGGGATTGCTGCCTCAGACTATTAGGAACCTTGGGATCTCTCTCTCTGCTCAAATTATAGTAGGAACTTTATGGCTTGACCTTTCCTTACATTGATAAATATAGGTAGTGTTGTCAACACTTGAAGCTGTGTTTGGGGCTTTACTGATTCTTGTACTTTACGTGTTAGTAATAGCTGTGCCACTGTCTCTGTCAGGGGTAACCTTAAATCCCATGTTCACTCTTTCAAATCCTTTCCCAAAACAACATTCCCAGAGAAATTTCTAAAGAAAACCTTCAGTGGATTTTCATCTGGTCTCATTTAAAGATGTGACACACCACATGAAGGTCATCTGTTTTCACAGCATGCCTGTGAGGAGGTAGGGTTGGGGGCTGCCTGAAGGTTTTGAATATATTATATTTTGAGGATACAGTGCCGTTTATGGGAGGTTGATTTCTTCGACTGTGTTTGTGCAGTGTTCAGCAAATGAGGATATTTGATACCTAAATATGTCATTCACATTATTTGGTTCTAACCTTTATCCCTTAAGACATACTTTTGTCCCTGACTGCATGCTAAACAATTTCTTACCTGGTGATTCATCTGGGTTGTCTATTCTCAACCCTGTTCATCAAGGATCTTGCTTATCTGCCAGTAGTCCTGACTTCTTGCATAGTGATTTATTGGCCACTGTTGTTTGTAATGCTATTTTGCATTCAGGCTATCGATCTCAGCATGCATTGGAGGAGTGCCAATGTTTTCACAATGGATTACACATCAAGACATGCTGTCCTTCTCAGGAACATTGTTTGGGAGAAGAAAGATAGTCATGATTGTGTCTCTATGGATGCAGTCATCTTTTCTTAAATGTGTTATCTCCATCTTTCCCTCATGAACAATAGATCTACCAAGCGACAACATGCTGTTTAGTGATGACACCATGTCATTCTTAATAATATAATGAATAATATACTTTATTTATAATCCATTCTATTTCCTGGAGAGGAACATATTACAGAATCCATATATGGCAAACATTCAATGCCATTATACAATTAATAAACAATGTATAGAAGCAAAGCCTGCCTCTTTTTCATTTCCGTCATCTGGATACTGTGCTTGACTCGGCCATGGAGAGGTGCTGCTGGATGCCTTCCTGCAAATTACTTCAAGGGTGCTTTTTACCTTCCCACCACAGTGGTACCTATCTATCTATTCACATTGCTGTTTTCAATCTGCTAGGTAAGCAGAAGCTAGGGCTCACAGCGGGAGCTCATCTCACTGCCAACCTTCCGGTCGGCAAGACTTTTTATAGCTGGTAATGTAACCCACTATGCAGGCATGTAGCCAGGGCGGGGGCGGGGGCGGGGGCGGGGGGGCTTGAGGGGCTTCAGCCCCCCCCC